GGCACGTTGGTCGTCTTTTAAACCTGCAGGAACCGGCATTATGGCAAATAGGCAGTGTCCCTTCCCCTCTGCGCCATCCCTCCTCTCTTTCTCTTCACACGCTCTTTAAAAGTAATTTATTGCTGGGAAGAGAGCTTGGGGTCAAGGAGGGTTCAGGGAAAGCAAAGGCTTTTAGAAGGTATTACAGCTGCTGTTTTTGCAGCAAGCAGCATGTAAGATGCTTTACATTCAGTGTTGGGGTGCACGTAGGAAAGATAGCTACTTCTCATCATGAATGTTGTTGTTGCAAGAGACACAAGTTACAGTTGTTTAGGATTTTCCTTTTGTTTGAATGTCATCAGAACCTCTGAACAAAACGGCTTGATTGCTCTGGATGTGGGCGCTCCTAGCCTAGAAACAGAAGGATATCTGTAATCCACACTGAACGTAGCACAGTGTTTTAGTAGAAAACAATTTACAGGGTCATAATATGTGACTTGGGGTTTTGGCTTTTTTTTTTCATTTATTTTTTTTATTCTCCCAGATTTTATCCTGGGAGAACAAATGAAAATAGCCTGTGAAGTTTTCCCCAGTTCTTCCAACATGTCAGACTGATGTTCTGCTTGCCTCTTTTCCACTAAATCTTTGCTCGTGCATGCATGTGCACATATGTATTCTGTTCTGTCCTAATAATTATGACTTGATGTTATTGTTGAGAGAGTTTGTGGTAAAGAGGATGAACTATGTGAGTCCTAATATTGTTCTGGTGCTTTGGTTTACAATTAACATTTATGAACTCAGATAAACTTTTAATATTTGAGGGCTGGGGTTTTTTTGGGGGGGGAGGGTGTGGTGTTTTTGTGTTTTTTTGATTTGGGTTGGGGTTTTTTTGTGAGCTGAAGTATAGTGTCCAAATGATTACTTCCCTTCACTTTGTCAGAGGTTTGCTCATGTGTGCTCAAGGTCAGGCCTATTTTGCATGACTGAAGAATGCACTCTCATTGCCCAACACAAAATCCATTGAAACTGGTAAGATTTTTGCCTGTTTCAGTGGGCTTTGGCTCACCCTCCTGCTCTGCAAGCTGAAACAACTGAACAAAACTCAAAACCTCTCAGTCAGAATTTCCACTTGTTTGTTTTGCAGCACAGTCTCACTGTGGAGTGATTCAACCCCTCAGTGCTCTTCCAGCCAGGGAGATATACATGTGGTTATGCTGATATTTGTGGATCATCACTAATGCTTTTCAGTCTTGGTTTACTGCTGATAGTGGCATGCTGTTTCGTATTTTCCTGCAAGAGTAGCTATCTGAATACTTTTTGACTCCTGCCCTTTTTACCCAGCAACCATAGAAAAAAAAAAAACCAAACCTGTTAATACCAAGTCATGATCCTTATAGGTTTATCATACAAAGGGAGAACATGGATGAACATGTGGATCCCCCCACTGACTCGCCATGTCAGCCAGCTGGCGTGTGGGAATGATACCCAGCTTGTTAAGTAGATCCATCTGAAGTATTTTTTGTTTGTTTAAGGAAGTTTATCTACTTGCTAATAAATCTTATGTGAAGAAGCTGATCAGGGGAGTAAATTTTAGATTACTGTTGAAAGCCGGACAAACAGGGGGTAGTAGAGTTGTTACAAGATAGGATGCTTGAGTCTAGTAGCGTGTGGAGGCTGTTGCTCAAAGTCCTCATTGCTTTGTAGGGATGACCGCTTCTACAGTAGTGAACCTTGGAAGATCTCAAGTCATCAAATACTATTGCATGTGCCTTACTAGATAATAATGCAGATTATAAAGTGATGAGGTATGCTCTAGTAGTGGTGTTAGAGTTTTTGAAAGGTAACTGAGATTGTTAGGGAGGTTGGGAATGGGTCCGTTAAAAGAGAAGTTACTCTTTTAGTCTTGACAGTGTTCCCCAAGAGACTTGTGTTCAACCTCATGGCTTTTATGTTTTTCTCTGTCCCCTTTGAAAGAGGCAAATGGTCTCTTACCTGGGAAGATAAAATGAGACTGGGTCATTTTAAAACAATCTGTTTTAAAAAAGAGATGGATCGGCTGTGGCTTTTTTCCTATGTATTGTTTAGATGAGCATTTTAAACCACTTTCATTTCTTATTGTCTTGGGCTTCAGCAGAGAGCTGTGCCAGCTCAACAGCTTGTCTCTGGGAGGTCTGGGTCTGAAGTGTGCCACAACAATCTGCGAATTGCAGTAGCACAATCTCTTTTGGGAAAAGCTAGCATAATATTTGTGTGTGCTGTGTATTCCAGCCAATGCCAAGAGTAATTTAGTAAGTATTAGGGAGAAAACAAACAATAACAAGCATGTATATTTAATGTTGCGGTTCTGTCAAAAAGTACGATGTGGGTCTGAGTGCTTGGCATTCATGGCGTGGATCAAGACAGAAATAGTAGCAGGGCAGGCTGAGAGTCAGCAGCGTTGTGCAGACCAAAATGTGTACATGTCTCAAAAGCCACGAAGGGAGAAGGAGCTTTGCTCTCTTTAACACAGGTGTCACGCTTGTAAAAGTAGGTCCCCTTTGCGTTTTTTAATTTCCTGTATGTGTCTCTGTCTATCGAGTGATGAAAATTATGGCTGAAGAACTGACAGGGAAAAACATGACTGGGAAAAGAGCTGATGCTCAAGGAGCAGGAGATGAACTTAAAATTGTCCTTTTGTACCTTGAGCGTTGCACTGAATACTGTCGTTAGGCTCAAAATCATACTTGGTGGTAGCTTCGGAAGGAAGAAGTCAAGGTGGATGGGGAAGAGCTGGAGCTGAGCACCTGGTTGCAGTGAGAGTCTTGGTTAATCCGAGCACATCAGAAGAGCTCCTTCCAAGAGAGTTGTAGAACTTGTTAAGGCAAGATATTGACTGCAGGGCAAAGAGGCTGGGAAACGGCAAGTGGTTTTGTTCCGTTGCCCTCCCCACTGTGTTGGCTTGAGGACTCGTGCAGCCACGAGGGAAATGGGCTGGGGACCGGTGGGGGAAGAGGAGCTAATTGATCCAAGTTAAATCATGCCCATCTGGAGGAGGGGGGAAAAAAAAAAAGTTTGTTCTACAGTTGGTGGCCATGTTCCTGACACTGAGCCATGGTGTCCCAGATTGGTGAAGAGGAGGTTTCAGAGGTCTCCTTCATGCTAAAAGCCAACCTCTTAGCTGCTATAACCATCTTTTGTGGTGTTTTCATGCTTGCTGTTAGGAGAATTTTTTTGAAGTTTACATAAAGGATATTTACAGAATCATTTTTTTTGGAAAATGGTGTTTCATTCAGTAAAAATTTCCCAGATAATTTGATCAGATATATTTAAAAAAATGCTGTCAACTTGAAATACTTTCACTTAAAAAATGATTTGCACATGTGCAGTTTCAAGTAGTAGATGTAGCCAAGATTGCTTCTAGTTTGCCTTATAATTCCTCCTAATTTTTTGTCTTCTGCAGTGGGTATCTCCCATATCTGGCTGCACAAAGCTTTCCTGGCACATACAGGGCAACTGACCAACTAACTGATCATAGATATGAAATTGCTCGCGTGCAAAATGACATCAGATGCACAGAGGAAATGCTTCCATATTGTTTGCGATAGAAGAATTGTGTATATTTACTGAATCAGTGATCCGTGATTCCTTTTTTATTAATTTCTAAAATTGTTTGCAGAAGTGGGGTACATAGAGCTTACTGGAAACTTCTGGTTTGCTATGTTTGGAAACAGTTCAGCACTAACAAAGTTGGAAACTATTTTAAACGTGCACAGTCTAACCCCTGAATATGTTTTTCTGTCATAACGGCACAAGTACATCCTTGCTGCAGTTCCATATATGGAAATTTGCCATCAGACAGCATCGTTTTCCAGAGCTCACATTGCGTCAGGAAACCACCTCTGCAGTTGTCAGACCTCTTGGTTAACTGTTACAGCAAAGTCAGTCCTCTACCTCTCCTTCAGGAATGATTAAACTTTTGGTAGATAATTATTGGTGTGGTATTGGAGAAGATGTCACTGGTGGGGAAGACAAGGCTCTTCCCTTCCAAACCGGGACACTTGAGAAGTGGAGTGTACTAAGAAGAATATAGGAGTTGTATGTGTGCAGTAGAGTAGAAACAAGATGGGGAGGAATACGTGCATCCGCATACTGTATCTGTACAGTAGAGTAGAAATCGGAGAGGAGAGAAATACCTGCACCCACATGCTGTGCCTGCATGTTTTTCTTCCCAAATGCCCACAAATAGTAGAGCAATAGATTCCCTTATTTTGCAGTAGTATTTCACAGAGGGGCTGTAGTTTAAAGGATCTGGTTTGCCATCAAGTCATCCTGCTGTGCATGTGACACAGCTTTATTGCTGTTTTGATAAAGGACTGGTGGAATTGAGTGTATGCGAATGTGGTTGAGGAGGAACGGGGGTATTTGACATAGTGGTTTTTAAATTTCTGAGACCTTCTCTTTAAATACGTTTACATGATTGCTTTAAATGCACCTACATGGTTTGCCAGCTAAGCAGCTGTCCATTTGAAGTAGAGAGGGAGATTTCAAGCCCCTTTAAAAAGTAGGCAAAATTCAATCTCTGAAAGTGGTAACACCTTCAAAATAGTGGATTCTTTTTTACTTTCAGGTGAAAAGTTGGGGTGGAAGTCTAGAAGAGAACAAGAATGGTAGTTTTCACATCGATCATTGCAACTGGATTTGCCAGCTCATGCACTTATCACCCCCATTGACTACTTCTCAATTTGTGTTTCACAATTAAATGGATGGATAGTTTTTCCCATCGAACCCTTGCTGATGTATGGTATCAAGAGTAGAAATCACTGAGAAGGATGCATGCTGTACCTTGTATGTTACAGTGCTATGCAGTACAGCAAATACTTGACATAACTGATTTGTCAGCTATAACCACCTTGTGGATTTCAAAATTACTTTCATGCTGGATGTATACTGTTGTCTGAAAACCACGGTTTCTGCACAAAGCAGATGCTTGTTGATAACACTGGTGTGAAGTGTTAACCATCCTCTCCTTCTCTTTCCTAAAGCTTGGACAACAAAGACAGAAACTTGCTGCGCATTCAAGAGAAAGAGAGGAGGAGTCAGGAAGCTCTGAAAGAAGACGACAAAACCCCTGAGAAGACTCCCCTCTTTGCAGAACCCTACAAGGTAACAGTAGGGAGGTGTGTGGTGGAGGAAGAGGAGGAAAGAGGGTTGGGATGGAAGAGGAGAGCTGTGACCTCTGCATATGGTACAGTAGACTTGAGCATGATATGTGCAAACGCAGCATCTTCCCATCTGCTTAACTTAAATTCATCACAGTATGTGCTTAAAGCTCTGTAGATGGTGCAAGCGCAGTGCAAACTTTGGGTTGGGCACATTCATTTGGGGGTCTCCTGTAGCCTGGGAGTTTGAGGCAGAGTGCTCAAGAGCAGCTTGGCTGCCTGTCTGTCTGCAGCTGTGGTTAAAACAAACTGGTCTGATGTTAGTGTTCCTGTTAGTTAGTTCCTTGGCTCAGAAGAACTAATACTGACTAGAGCAGTCCCACTTGCTTTGGAGAGGCTGCATGCAGGATCAAGATGTGCTTGCATAACTTCACTCTTGGTTATGCATGGTGATTAAAATAAGATCTTGAAGAATGTCTCTTCTTGAGCTGGATCTCTTGGGGTTGAGGGGTCTGTGCTTTTTAAATTTCCCCCTCTCTTCTTCTGTGCAGACTAATAAAAGAGATGAGTTGTCAAGACGAATTCAGAACATGCTGGGCAATTATGAGGAGGCCAGGGGGCTCATAAGCAAAATGTCCCATCTCATAGAGGTTCCAAGAAGCGTTGCTCCTCTGATCCCACAAGGAAAGCCTGATTACCCACACTTCCCTAAAGAGACCAGCCATACATTACTGTTTTCATTCCACCACACAACCCACCCTCCACCCATGGGACCTATGGTTGTAGCTCCTCCCCCTCCAGGCCACTCCATTCACCACCAAAAGGCACAATCAAGAACAGAACCAGCTTCAGGTTTGCACACCGAGGGTCACAGCTTACCCAATGGTCAGAACCAAAGTCCAGAACATAATTGTGATGGCCAGGAAAGTCATGCAAGTTCTCATCACAAGGGAAATGACAGGCATGCAGCTGGTGAAGGTCATGCTAATGAACTGCAGGACCCCCTGGTTCTTTCTCCATTGCTGTCATCTTTGTCCGCTCCAGTGGCACCCCTGTTACCTCTACAATCCAGCCATTCCAATTCCAACTCACAGAAGAGCAGCGAAAGTCATGAGCTGACCTGCAGTCAAACAAAATCATCTCAGGACCTAGTGACAGAATCAGAGGAGGAAAGTTGGGACAGCTCAAACGATGACCTGACCATCACCCCTCCGCCTTCCTCTCCACCCTTTGCCCCACCTTTGCCATCACAAAACAGTGCAATGCAGCCAAAACCAACCGCCTATGTTAGACCAATGGATGGCCAAGATCAAACACCAGTTGGGTCCCCAGAGCTTAAACCTCCACAGAAGGAATACCATGGAGAACTCGATGAAGAAATCTCGGATTTGAAGGCAGATGCCAAGGCCAAACTATCCGAATTGGAAATCCCTTCTGAGCCCGTAGAGGTTAGTGCAATCGTTGGGGGCTCTGTTGCCGGCAGGGTAGGTTCAGCTGTGGGAGAACAGGTCATCCAAGGGCAGAGAATACCAGAAGCAGTGATGGCTGTGCACACATTACTATGTTTAGAAGGTGCGTTTTGGGGTCGCTTTTGCTGACTTGGGCGAGATATCTGTTTGGATGGTGAAAATGCAATGCTTGCCATGATTCTGTGGTTTTCTTGGTGAGGCTGCAGCAGGTTTTATGGTTAGAGAGGCTGCTGCTGTTGCTATGATTTTTGTTTTGCCTGTGAAGATTGTTCAAAAGGAGGAGGGGGAAGTGATATGCTGAGATGGTCAAGTGGCGGTGTACCTGTAGTGAGTACGTGCAGTGTCAGTACTCAGTCTGAGTGCTGATGTTTGGAGGCCCCAAATCCTCACTGAATACTGGGACAGCTGACTGTGCAGTGAATTCTGTGGTCACCTGGTAGGTTGAAGGTTTTGGGGCTTTGTGGTAAGTGACTGCAAACACGACAGAGTTCTCCTAAGTAAGCTTGTAAGATCTCACAGTAAACCCTCAGGAAAGTATTCATGTGAGCAAAAAACATCCTATAGGCTTCTGCCAGATGGATTCAGCCTAGCTTCCTCGGGAAGCACACCACCATTCTGTCTCCTGCTTCATCAAATGCCTTCTGAGCAAGTTCTGAAGGTTTAAGTAAATTCAGTGCAAAGGTGGAATTCTCAGTGATAAGCAGGATCCTAAAAGTTCTGTAAAATTTTGCATTTGAGCGAAGAAGATACCCTCTTTCTTGTCGCAGTTGTGAGCAGAATGAACAGAACTCTGCTATGTGTTTGTTCTTACCAGCAGAAGGCAGCCTGGGCAGCGAGCTCGAGCATACCTGCGTTCTGGTCACCACGTTTGTCCTTGCTCTGCCAAGGTCTGAGAGGGGTGTTGCCAAAGGAGTGGGATGGGAAGCTGCAGCTGCTGCAGTGAAGAGGTGGCAGTTGGGCCAAAGACCGGAATGTGTTGCATGTTTAAACCTTTGTTTATTCCTGCTCGTGTAAGAGCAGCTTCATCCTAGTACGTGTTATTTTCTTGAGAGCGAAACACGAGCTTCTTCATTAAAAATGGATAATGTTTTGCGGCTTGGATTTCAGCCTGCAGTTAGGATTTGCAGCTTCAATCTGCGGTTAGATTTCTGCCTTTAGGTACTCTTTTGTCTGTTGTTCTGCTCTTTTGGCGTTTTCATGGATTGCTCTTTTCCAGGTTGAGGCATTTCGACTGGTTGCAGCAAGGCTGAGTGCAGAGTATTGCAGGTTAGCAGGTGCAATTCAGAACAGAACGTCGTTGCCCTTGTACTGCTGAAGTAGCCCTCTTCCCAGAGGGAAGAAAACTTCTGAGAAGATGGATTTTTTTTTTTTGTATTTTTCTTCCTCCATCTTGAGTTGGTTAGAGATCATATTAACCAGGCGGTTAAGAAGTAGTTTTTTCCTTTGTAATTATTTCATTACAGCAAGATTCCTTGTTGTGCTCCATCTCTTTTTGCTAACCCCAAGACCACCTATCCAATTTGTCGTGTGCGAAGGAGGCAGAAGCCTGGGATTTCTCAGACAGGTGCTGTAGGTGAAAGCAGCTCGATGCTCACACTGGTGAAGCAGTGGGAGAGGAGGAGCAGCGTTGTTGTACGCTTGTTGTTCAGCAAACGCACGCTTTTCGGTGTTGTGGCCTTCGAAGCCCGTTGTTCCAGCTTTGCCAAAGGGACCAGCACGCCGATTCTGCCTGCCCTGTGGCTCAGCCTCCCGTGAGCTCAAAGGCGCTTGGTTCCCAGGTACATTTGGCAGTTTCACCACACTCATCCCTCAGCACTGAGAATATTGCTGTGCCCAATGGGATGCAGGATCTCACAGGGCTGACCTACGCTTAGCAGCTGGGCAAGGAGAGCTATGGAGATAATTTTCAGAGTGTATTTTGCCTTTATAATAAAAAGGGAGAGTGTGGGTGTGGTCTGCTTTTCGTGGAAAAGGGTGTTGATGAGCTGCAAATGGCTGCAGGCAATTTCTTGTGGAAAATGAGAGGAAACTGGCAAAATGACATTGTTGAGAAGTTGTGAAAATACTTTCACGCTGAGAGACTTTATTTGCTTTGAAGTAGGTTTGGCATTGCACATCATGCCTCAAAATAGGAAGTGCACTGTGGTCTGCATTTCATTATTCGCTCGACTGGACATTTTACTCGTGGTGGAGAAGTAAAGCAGCACAGGGCCTTAGTTTCTGCATTGCCCATTCTTTGTTATCCATTGCCAAAAAGATAAAGGACACTTCTAGTTTTAAAACTCTTTGCAATTTTTTTTTTTTGACGGAGCGTGCTTATTTTTCAGAAGTGAGACTTGCTTGTTCTCTCCCAACTCTCTTGGTCCCGTTTCTGTTTTCATCTTCTTTCTTTGCCCATCCCCGTGCTTTTTATGTCATCTTGTGTATCTCTAGTTTAATATGGTTTTAAATAGGGCAACGTTAGCTATGATGCCGTATGCTGAGTGAGACTTTCCATTGAGCACATGACTCTGAATCCAAGTGCCCATAAAAATCCTACAGCTTCCAGAGCATGAGTAGCATTACACGTGCTGGTTCAGGAGAGCTGTTAGATCTGTGGCAGAGCAAGATCGTAATAAAAAGGGAATTGAAGATAATTAAATAAATAGTTCTGCACAAACCAAATCCCTGGTTTTAATTAGATGCTTAGTTCATTTCGAAGCTGATAGATGAAACCTTTTGTAAATGTGCTGAATGATCCTTGTTTGAGATAGGTTTCTTCAGGCTCTTTTCTATGCATAGGCTCTGTAAGTTCTAGTGAAAAATGCACGACTTCATTTTCTGCTTGTTTCAGGCTTGTCAGTATCATATTTACTTACTTCTGTTTGATTCAATGATTAACATATATTTGACAATACAGCCTTTCAGTGCTAAAGCCTGGGGAGTGAAGAGGAAGAAACAGTGTGGTTGCACATCTGGATGTATCCCCTGTGTGCTGGATGTACAGTACGAGAGAGGTGATTGGAGAACAGGGCTGGACTGGTTTACTTTTAGGAAGCATCCGGTGGAGTGTGTTGCATGCAGGTGAAAGATTTGCCCAAAGAAAGGATCTTGGGAAGGCTAATCAGGGGGTCCTTGGGCTGAAAGGTTGGCCCTCCCTTTTGTTTTTGGTGAAACAGGAGCTGCGGGCAGGCTCCTGCCCTCCCATGACCCTGACAGTGAATAGGTCTAGACTAGCAGAAACACTGCTGTTCTTCCCTCTGCCTCCCTGCAACTGGGAGCGTGGTTTTACAAATTTTATTTAGACTATTCAGCCCCAGATATACTGAACAGCCACATGCCAAATCGGGTTTTGCCTGTCATCTCCCTTGACATCACTTAGGAAAGCCATTTCTCCTACCACATGTTTTTTGGCTAATTGAATTTCTACGGCATGTGTCACCTGCAGCTGTGAATTCATTATTGACAGCTTCTGTTCATGGCAACACTGACAAGTTAAGCCTTCCAGTCTGAATAGACAAGCAGATTCACTGTAGAGTGAATTAATCCACACTGGATAACTGTGCAGTGACTCACTTTGCATTCACACAGAGGAACTGAACAGCTCTTTTCCCTCTTCCCCAAATAAAAACCTTTGCTTTCAAATGTCATCCCAGTCTCTTGAAGGCATCTTTCCAAATTTATTGTGAGAAGACTTAAAAATGTAGCATACGTGAAGCTTAGATGTATCCCTTCTCTTCATGTGCCAGGTTTTACCTCTTCCTCCAGCACCTAAACAAAGATGCTTTTAAAGCCATTCTCTCCTTTCATGCCTCGAGGACAGCTCCAGCACCAACAGAGACCCTTGTATCACCTCCATTGACAAAGACTGGGATGTCTTAAAGGGAATTGGCTTGAGGCAGGGCCAAGAAGCAGTGAGGCTGGTTTGAGACGGAGTGTTTATAAATCCTCAAACATTATTAAGGTCATAGTGTCTGGAGCAATGTGTAGCACTTGATGCTTATGGAAGATTTGGCTTTGTTTTCCTGGCAGTTTCATAAAAGTTAGGGAGTAGCTCCTTTTATCTCATGTAGGGAGACCTTATCAGACTCTCCTCTTTCACCTACAAACTAGGAAGCAATCAATTTAAAAAAAAAAACAAAACAACAACAAGCAATGAAGGAGCCCAGACGTGTTAAGTCTTTTTGTTTTCCTTTGTTTTCTTGTTTTCACTGTGTTTTCCTTGAAGCACAGGGTACACACTAAGATCTGTGCTCAAAGCAGAATTGCTGTCATCGAGCTCCCTCAGTGAACATTTCTGAATGGTCACCAATTAAAACATGATTGTTGCGTAGTATATACTAATGACTAAATACCTAGAAAGATGTTTGGATGACAAAAATAGAAAGTCCATTTTCACTGACTTCTCTCCAATGCGACTGAACTTTTCTGCTGGCAGGATTGGTCAGACAGTGAACCCTATAAACTAGAAATAAATATATTGCTTTAATCCTGCATCCTTTAAAAATGAAAATCTTTAAAAATATCTGTAGCACTGTCATTTGGTTTTACTTAATGAATAGAATATTTAGCATTAAGCTACTATTGATGTCTTTCTACCAACCTTATATTTGTTTATTTATCATTTGCTGAAGAGAAGGGAAATTGGGCTTCCCCTCCCTCTTTGTATTGCTTTTTTTGATTTTTTTTTTTTTTTCCCCTGGTTTGCACCACAAGAGGTAACAAGGTGGTACTTCTGTGTCTCCCCTGCTGCTAGAAATGCCTTATGTGATTGGAGAAGGGTTTCCTTGCTTCACCACAAGCGTTGTGTAAATTTTATCGTTTTGTTTTGTTGGTTATCTTTTTATCTTTTTGACTGCTAAAGAAGCAGATCAAACACGAATGACAACTGTTACTACTAGATTTTTAATGTTTACTTAGAGTCTCCAGAACAAGGAGCGCTCTGGAAGAGCTGGAGGGTGAGGGCATGTGGGGCAAAGGAGCAGGTGGTTTGCTCGAAA